GAGCAGAAGGATAAAGCTAGAAAAGTTGGCAGAGGTGAAGTCATGCTGGATCTTTAGGGCATTAAGGGTAAGACGGGACAAGGGATCAGGAAAACTCAAGGATAAATTCCAGGTTTCAAACACGGACTCCTGGGCAAATGACTGGGCCCAAGTTAGAGGAGTTTTTTTCCCAGAAAAAAACCTGGGAAAATGGATAGGATATGATCATTCATTAGTTTCAGGTTTGTCAGTTATCCCTACATTGTAAATATACTGAAAACTAGGGATTTCCGTACTGGTTTGATGAAGAGCCCTGCTTTGGAACAGGAAGAGCTGCCATCTTTGAAGCCATGCGAGGAGCTGACGAATCAGTAAGAACCCAGGAAAATGGTGACCTCTGCTGAAGCCGTATCCCTGTTAATGAGATGAGGCCCAGATAGCTTAGAGCAGAGGTTCTAAACTGGTAGCCCATGGGCCTTCCTGCAGCACTGCATGTCTTGAAAGAAGAAGAAAGAGGGAAACTTCTAGTTTCTTACACTGTCGTTTCACCATTTTTCACTTGGTGGAACTAAGTACACTTCCAGCCTTCCCAGGAAGCTCCCTTTCCAAATATGTATATTACAGTCACCCTCTTCCCACCCCTGTGGTGCCTTGCCTGTTACGCTTCGTTCTCTTCTAGAAGCACGTTAGGCTTGGATATCAACTCCTTGATAACGTGCAGCTTAAGGACAGTAGTGTGGTTGAGAATGTTTGATTTGTAGGGAGGAAGAGAGGAGGGGGTTTTTTTGAGAGGGGATTCTGTGACCAACCCACCACCAGTTGTAGCCACAATGGCTACAAATTGACCAAATGGACCAGTTGCTTTAGGTAGTATTTCCCAAAATATGTAAGGAGACATTTCTGCCCTTGAGAAAATCACTTCCATCTCCTGTCCCCCAATAAGTTATAGAGACTAAGAAATTATGTAAATAGTATATAGTATCTCCTGATGGAGGTATGCAGTACATCCAGCTGGATAGAAACCAGTTTAACTTTGTGTGTGTGTGTGTGTTTATTTTTATCTTATTTTACAGCAGCTTGGTAACATATTACTAACAACCATTGTTGATACAGAAAATGTCAGCAAACATTTGCACTTAAACAATGCTTCATTCATCTTTTTTTTTTTTTTTTGTCTGTGTTGGGTCTTTGTTGCTGCGCGGGCTTTTTCTAGTTGCGGCGAGCGGGGGCTACTCTTCGTTGCAGTGCACGGGCTTCTCATTGCAGTGGTTTCTCTTGTGGAGCACGGGCTCTAGGTACGCGGGCTTCAGTAGTTGCGGTGCGCGGGCTTCAGTAGTTGTGGTGCACGGGCTTCAGTAGTTGTGGCACATGGGCTTCAGTAGTAGTGGTGCATGGGCTCTAGAGTGAGTGCAGGCTCAGTAGTTGTGGCGCATGGACTTAGTTTCTCCACGGCACGTGGGATCTTCCCGGACCAGGGCTCGAACCTGTGTCCCCTGCATTGGCAGGCAGATTCTTAACCACTATGCCACCAGGGAGGCCCCATTCATCTTTAAGTTGGGCAAACCTTAAGTATTCTGCAATTAAAAATATATATAATCTAAGAAAACCCACCTATTATTTCAAATAATCTTCATAATTTTGATTTTATAGCCATTTAAAAAAATTGATATATAATTGACATATATTAGCTTTAGGTGTACAACATAAAGATTCAATATTTGTATATACTGTGAAATGATCACCACAATATGTCTAGTTAACATGCATCACCACACATAGTTACAAAAATTTTTTTTCTTTGGATGAGAATTTTTAAGGCCTACTCTCTTAGCAACTTTCAAATATACAATACAGTCTGATTAACTATGGTCACCGTGTTGTACATTACATCCCCATGACTTATTTATTTTATAACTGGAAGTTTGTACCTTTTGACCACCCGATTTAACTTTTTTTCCAGAATTTTTTATTGTGAGACTTTTCGAGGAATTATATACTCATATACCTACCAACTAGATTGTACAGTTAACATTTTTGCTATATTTGCTTTGTTCCATATTATCCATCTCTCCATCCCTCTTTTTATCTATCAATCCCTCTTTTTTTTGATGCATTTCAAAGGAAGCCACAGACATCGGGACCTCCTGCCTCTAATTACCTTAGCACACCTATCCTTAACCAGATTTGTTTGCATCTGCATTTTCTTGTCGTACAACAAGCACAAAAATCACGTGTTTTTTGGGGGGGTTTTTTGTTTTGTTTTGTTTTTATCACAATGCTTTTATTATAACAAAATTCACATGTTTTTTATTAACACCTATTGATGTCACTCAAATTTCATGCTCCACAGGGCAGACTTTGGGCTAATGCTTTGGAGTTATGAAGACACCACCTGTGTAATGAAATTCCAGGTTATTTAAAATTGTTGTCCTGTCTCATGTAGATTAATCACAGAATGGAGAGGGGGTTAATCATTCATTTTACAGATGGGGAAAGTGAGGCCCAGAAAGGTGGGGACTCTTGTTCAAGGTCATACAGCCCATTAGACCTATTTGGCATAGAGCTTTTCTACAGAATGACAGTGTTCTGCCTTGTCCTTGAATGAGGCTATGTTTTCCTTTTACTCTGGTCCTTGCACACCGCTGACTGCCTTGGTCTTTGGCTCACAAGGGTGTTTCAGCGGCAAAGTAAAACTCCAGGGCCAGGCTCCAAACTAGGCTCCCAAATGACTGCTTTGTAACTTCATTTCTTCCAGTTACTTGTCACATCTCATCCAGATTTCTTTTCCTTGGCAATGTCCACATTTTATTCTGTTCTTCTAGAATTCCAAATTAATCATCTCATTTTTGGTGAAAGGAGATGTTGAAATGAAGTGTTCAAAGTATTCTACAGCAGGCCCGTGACCCTCTTCTGGGCATTTGTAACACCCAGCTCTTTCAGAGACTAAGATTTAGGGTGTGGGTGAGCCGAAGGGGGAATGGATCTCTCCTATTTTATATTCTACCTTAAAGATGTTTGTGATTCTAAAAATCATGTTGGTAAAATAAATAAATAAATAAAAATAAAATAAAAATCATGTTGGTAATCCACAGGAGGGCAGAGATATTTCACCCTTAAATCACAGTCAAGGAAACTATCATGGCATCATATGATTATTTTCGATACTTAAAAAACAGTATTCTTAAAGGAGTCTGTGTTTATTTACATATATTCCATTGAATTCCCAAAAGGTGAATTAAACAATTAGTTTTATATAACAATTTTTAAAATGAAGACTATAACACAAATTTGGGAAAGACAAGGCTATAATTTCTGGGTTTGCCTCCTTTTTTTTTTTTTTTTTTTTTTTTTGCGGTACACGGGTCTCTCACTGTTGTGCCGGACGCGTAGGCTCAGCGGCAACGGCTCACGGACCCAGCTGCTCCGCGGCATGTGGGATCTTCCCGGACCGGGGCACGAACCCATGTCCCCTGTATCAGCAGGCAGACTCTCAACCACTGCGCCACCAGGGAAGCCCTGGGTTTGCCTCCTTTTTTCATGGGAGACCATATTGAGGTCAAGCAGAAACAAATTTTGTCTACCATGATTATAAAACACGAAAGAGAACCCACTCCTTTCACACGACAAAGAAAAGACAAGAGCTTGGCTGTGAAACGAGGCTCATTATGATTGCTGACATTTTAGGGAAATGCAATAATTTACATGTAAAGCGTGATGAAACAATTTTTATGGTTTTAAATGTATTCTGAAAGGCCTTGGAAGGCAGTCTCATTGTAGTATCTCAGAAGCAGCCGCATCTGGAGAAAGGTTTCTATGGCAACTCATGAAAGCTTGATTTTTTTTTTTGTCCTTTTCAAGAGCATAAATCATCACACGGCCTGAGGCTTCAGTAAAGGTCTCCTTTATTTTAGAAGCTATTGCCATTTGTTTTTGTGTTGTATATTTTGACTGTCTAAGAGAAAACAGAGCAAAGGACTTCCAAGAGGGCTTGGAGTCTTTTTCATATCTGGGGGCAAGATGTGAATAACATAATTCTAGACTTTGCTTCTCAGTGATCAAAGTGATAGCACATACACATTGGTAAGTTTGGTTTATATCATGAGTTGTTTCAGTTTTTAGGAAAGTTGTGATCGGTGCATTCTCAGGAACGAGGAGTTAGCCTGGACTTGAGGAGGAACTGTTTGGCCAAAGCACCTCTTTTTTTTTTTTTTCTTTCATAATTGAGATTTTATTGGTTGTTTTGAGGATCAGTACACAGACATTTCAATTTGCACACAATTCTCAACATACGTACCAAAAACCTAAAAAATCATGTAGTTGTGATTCTTTTCTGAACAGTTATTCCAGTGACTTTCCAGCTTAAAATTTGGGGGCAAAGTTTCCTTCACACGGTATCAAGTACCAATATCTTCAAATATTGATACGCTGTTACATCGTAAGTCCCACTCATTCACAATTTAATATCACATACACTACATACTCAAATTGTCAGTCGTTCACAGCACATTAACAGTTACTAGAAGAACTGGACTACCACGACCAAAGATGTTACAGAGTGCACAAAATTCTGCCTAGGAAAGCCAAGATCGAGGGGTGAATGGTTTGCTTTAGGAAACAATTATACCAAAAACAACGTGGGAAGAGAAGTAATTTAAAGTGTTTAAGACATTAAATGGACAACTGACTCCAAACTGCCATTTAGTATGCTTTGTATTATAGGATATAAAAGCTACCCTCCCATCTGTGGAATGTTAAGCTGACACCCAAGACAATCAAAGCCTCCCATATTCAATATCCCACTATTTTCTGGTTGTACCAAAAAATAACCAACCAGCAAATGATTTCACCTCTTAAAAAAAGCATTTACACTTAAAAAATGGGATGAGGTGGGATTCCTTCCTTTTGAAAAATGTTTCTAGAGCTACTGAAAAACTTGCATTTACAAAATAGTTGATAAAAATATTCCTCTGGATTGTACAAGAAGGGAAACAGGGACCACTGGTAGGACCAGGTGTGTGATATTAATCAGACTTGGCTTCTTTCTCTCCTGCTTCATTAGAAGCTGGGCTCTCCTCATTTTTAGTTTCTCCATTTTCTGCAGGTAAGTCTTTAGTCTCTTGGTTAGCCACTTCAGCCTGTTTTCCCTTTGCTCCCCTTTTCCCTTTTGTTTGCACTTTTTTGTCGGAAGATTTATCCTTTCCTGCCGCCTTTTTTGGCTTCGTTTCCACTTTTGCAGGAGCCGGTTTAGCTGAAAACCTCGCTGATCTCCTCTTGGGCTCCTCCTTCGCCGCCCCCTCGGCGGAGCCGACCTTCCTCTTGGGCATCGTGGCGGCGGGGCGGGCGCGTGCCGGGTGCCTGCGGGCCGCGGCGCGCCGAGAGCCTTCGCGAAGCTGGGCTGCCTGGCCGCTGCCGCTCCTCCCGCCGCCCGAGCTGCTGGGACCGGCGGCGGGGGCGGTCTCAAAGTATGATTCTGGGACTAGAACCATGACAGTCATCTGGGAATATGGGGCCCACCGCGCCGTAGCCCGGGCCCCGAATAGGTGAGGTGGACCGTCACTCGACCACTGCGCCCCGTCCCCGCTCTCGGCGCCCCTACCCGCCCGCCGTCTCGCAGGGCCCCAGACCCGGGCGAGGGGGCGGGGCCAAAAGCACCTCTTAATGAGTAGTTCAATGGCGGTATCCCAGAGGGCACTGCGACGCTCTAAATATCTTCAGATCTCCCTGTAAATGTCTTGGTCCCAGGGTTTTGGGCACTGACAGACTCCAGGTGGTTTTTATCAATATAGTCTTTCCAAGAAAGTTAATAAAGAAATATTCTATTTTTAAAACTCGTCATGCTTTGAGAATTTTTTTAAAAAACATTGGCCCTTGTATGTTACAGGAAGTAATGTGACTAATGAAGAACACACAGTTCACAGAAACAGAGCCGGATTTTAGACCGAGCTCTGCCATCGCTAGTTGTGTAACGCTGAGCAAGCTCTTGAATCTCTCCCAGACTCCATTTTCTAATCTGAAAAATAGGAATAACAATGAGAGCCTCAAAGACTTATTGTTAAGAACTTAATGTGTGTGAATATTGGAAACTGTAGTGCTGTACAAATATAAGGTGGTTATTATAATTGGTTAGCCGGCTTTCTTTCCAGCTTTTTCTTTGAAAAAGTCAGGGGTATCCCTTTACCATTTCCGGTGTGACGAGAAGAAATCAGTTTCAACGTGTGTCAATATTTTAGTTTCCTATACTATATTAAATATGTTTATATAGACACCATTTCAGCCATTTGTTTATTTCTTGACTAAGTAATTAAATGTCATCTTTGCTGCAGGGTATTAAATGAATACATTCAACAAGCATGTAAGTGCCAACTGTGTACTAGCATCGAGGACACAAAGGCTAGGTAATTAAATTCTTATCATTCAGGAAATAAGTTTTCTGAGTTTCAAGGCCACGGCATAAGCTGTTCAGGATGATGCCATGAAAGAGGGGTTGTAATCCAGCCCACACTGCTAGCCAAGCACCGATGTGAGCTGCATTCACCCAAAGAAAGGATGCCTTTTTGAAATTCACCTGCCATGAGTGTGTGCCTTTGTTACGGAGTCCAAGCTCGCTCTGCTCACCGCTCAACTGGCCAATAAATCGGGAGACAAGGTGTTGAGGTAGGGAATAGCGACTTTATTCAGAAAGCCAGCAAACCAAGAAGATGGCAGACTACTGTCTCCAAAGAACCATCTTATGGGGTCTGGATGCCAGTTTCTCGTATAGAACAAAGAGGGGGAGGAGGTGAGGAAGTAAGGTTAAAAGGCCATTTGCAAATGGAATGGCCAGCCTCAGGGAGGGGATGTGTTAATTTCTTCTTTCTTGCAGCCATTCACAGGTGGACAGGGTCAGGATGTTTCCTTGAACAAAGGCACTTTGGTTTAACATTCACAGAGAGGGGCAGGGTTCCCTGAGGCAGGCCATTATGTATAGACAGTATCCTTTTAGTGAACAAAAGCAATGGGAAGCAAAGGTTAAAGTAAAAGAAACAGATCCGGCAAGTAGTCAGATTTTGTTCTTCCCTGTAACACCTTCTTGTCATTTACACAAAGGTATGGAACGTGCTAGCAGTGACCCTGATGTTTATGTGGTTCGTCAAGTTCTATGGATGGCTTTCAGTGTTTCACCCTTTAGTAAAGGCTGCTGGCCATGTTTGTTATCTGGAGTCAGATTGCCTGCATTTGAATACTGGCTCTGCCATTGGCCAGCTGTGTGACCTTGGGTATGTTACTTGACCTCTCTGTGCTTCTCTTTTTACATCTGCCCACTTCATAGAGTTGTTAGGAGGATAAATAAATTCTTATATGTAAAACATTTGGAATAGAAACTGGCGTGCAGTCAGTGCTCAAAATGTTCCTGTTTTCAGTGATATCTTTACCTGCCTCTACTCTGTGTTGAAGAGTTCAACAGTCAACATCTGAATTCTACCTACAATTGCCTCTTTCCTTTAATGAATTTAATTTCACATTGGTGATATTTTTCTTTTTACCCCAGACCCTTTTGTTTGTGTGTGCGTGTTTGTGTTAAATAACTGAAAAGGCATTCTCTGTAGCGACATCAAAGAATTCCAGTTCTTTGATCAGAAGGTCACTTGGTTGTTTCTAGAATTTTCTCATAAAACCATTTGCCTTGTCAGAAGTGACAGAGGTGATGAGGACTATTTGCATACTTTTGGCTTTTATCCTTTCTGAGGGAGTGCTTATATGGTTTACCAGTGTTATAAGGGTAGAGATGCTTTGAGGTACAGTGAATTTTTTTTCTCAGTTTCGGTTAACATGATATTTTTTTTGGGTAACTTTAAACTGAGAAAAAGTCTTTATGTAATATTGAAGTACTGATGTTTCATGTTTTCAAAACAATTAACTTTGCATTTGAAAGTGCTGACAAATTCTGTTAAAGATCAGGTTTTGATAGGAAGGACATGAGACATATCGACAAAGCAAGAAGAGGCCCCTTTGTTACCTGCACTGTGTACTTTTCAGTCTCTCTTCGGCCCTTTTCCGTGGCACAAAACTGGAAGCACAGAATGTTAATAAAGCTGCAAACCACTGATGTTTAGGTATTTTAAATAACTTGAGTGTATAATCCAAATTGAAGTATCCAAATAATTTAATTGAAATAGTCATCACTTTGATGAAACATTTTCCAAGTGAATTACCTGGGAAGGGAGATGAAATATTTTGATCATTTCATGTCATTAGGCTTTAGTCTACCATTAGTAAGGTGCGCCATGCTACGCTTATTCATCCAAAGGAGACTCCCTGAGCCAAAATACTACCGATCCTGCACCATTTAGAGGTAACAAATGAGATGATCTTATCAAGGGCCTGTCAGGGACACATAGGGGCTGCCTCTGAAGTTGCCAAATGATCATTGTGAAATAGTAACTGATCCTGCATGTTAAACTCAAGTTTAATTAGCTTTTTTAAAGTAGGAAGTCATTATATGCTTGTTTCTAAATTAGTTGCAAAAATTAAATATCTTTTTAAGAGAAAAACTGATATTTTAAGATTCTTCTATTTAGATGGAGAGGAGAATGTTTTAAAACACTTTGCATCAATCAGTGTATAGATTACTGCATTTTTAATTTTTCCTTTTTGGTCCGTGGGTGGTGGCTAAGAGTTCAGGTTTGGGGCTGAACCCTGACCCTACCATTTACTAATTGTATAATCTGCGGCAAGTCAGTGAATGTCTCCAAACCTCCATTTTTTCTTTTTAAAATGAGGATAATAATACCTCTCAGCACTGTGGTGAAAATCCGATGAGCATTATGTATGAAATGCTCTTTCTTCACACAGCAAAGCAATCCTCAATGCTTTAGATGGTGGCTGCTATTACTGTGGGGTTTTTTTTTTTTTTAGCTGTTATTGCATTGTGTCAGGAAATGATTGCCTGTTTCAACTGTGCCAATTACACTGTCTAGTGTTCTTAGGGCAAATGTAATTCTGCTACTTTATGATTTTTTTTCACAATAGTATTGCATTTTAAAATTCCCAGACTTCCCAGAGAATGTACCATCTCTCATATTTTTGTTCTATGGCAAAATGTGTTACAAGTTCCAAATGGGGCTTCTCTGGTGGCGCAGTGGTTAGGAATCCCCCTGCCAATGCAGGGGACAGGGGTTCGAGCCCTGGTCCGGGAAGATCCCACAGAGCAACTAAGCCCGTGTGCCACAACTACTGAGCCTGCGCTCTGGAGCCCGCAAGACACAACTACTGAGCCCACGTGCCATAACTACTGAAGCCTGCACGCCTGCAGAGCCCGTGCTCTGAAACAAGAGAAGCCACCGCAATGAGAAGCCCGCGCACCGCAACGAAGAGTGGCCTCCGCTCGCCACAACTAGAGAAAGCCCTCGCCCAGCAACAAAGACCCAACTCAGCCAAAAATAAACAAATAGATAAATTTATTTAAGAAAAGAGTTCCAAATGACTGACATAAACATGAACTCTTGGGAAACAACCCTGTTGTAAGCTGGGGCGCTTCTGGATACTTAGTTGTTTGCTTATTCTTTGATTAATCAAACCATTAGTCCTTTTGCCAGTCATCACTAAGGAATCCCTTGAGATCTTAACAATCTATTTTTATTTTATTTATAAAAAAAGTTTTACTGAAGTATAGTTGATTTAGAATGTTTTGTTGATTTGCAATGTTGTGTTAATTTCTGCTGTCCAGCAAAGTGATTCCGTTATACATATATATACATTCTTTTTTTAATATTCTTTTCCATTATGGTTTATCATAGGATATTGAATATAGTTCTCTGTGCTATACAGTAGGACGTTGTTGTTTATACATCCTAACAATCTTAATCAGCTCCGGGCCAGACTCCAACTCCTCAGTTCCTTCTTCAGTTTCCTAAAATTCCCTCCTCCTAAACTTGCAGGGACTTTCTTAAGCCATTGGTATTTGCGTCAATTATTTTTCAAATCAGTATTTGTCAGTTGATATCCAACAAGCATGAGTGAGACAAGTTGTGAGGTATTTCTAACAACATATTCTCGTATTGCCCTATTTAAAGATATTTTTGTAATTTCTATTTATGCCTTTTTAAGGCACATGAGCATAAAGAACTCTATTCAATGATTTGATAAGACGCTGGCTTGTTTTAGTAAATGTTTCTGTTTAGCATCAGATACTATTGGGTAACTGCACTTACCCAGTAGTACCTTTTGTGGAATATAAAATGCTAGTGTATATGAGTGATGTTGTGTTTCGTTCTGAGCCCTTTTGTTTAAGCCTCAACATGCTCAGCAGGTGTATCTGAATTCCATGATAGCAGCTGTTACTATG